AAAAAAAAAAAAAAGAGTTCCTCAGAAAAATCTGAAAAAAAACTATGTTATACAGAAAAATAAACTGAACAACTTTTGCCTTGGGATCATATCGAAATTCGCTGCCAAATTGAAAATAAAAAATGAAATAAAATGAAAACCCTAATTTTTTTCTTTTTTTCGTGCTTTTAATTGCTAAAAATGGAGTTGTCCGGGCCAAGACGTGTGGGATCCCCCTGACTGTCCGCCCAGGACATCCTGCCATCGGAGAATTGGTAGCCTAGCTTCAAAAGGTAATGAATAGCAATGATTCATTATTTGGGTATTAGTAATAAATCATTATAGAGATAGACCATGTCCAGACCCCCGAAGAAAACAAAAACGGGCCTGAAAAACCCCCAAAACAAATTTGGGGCCTTGGCTCCTCAGTGGGGAAGAGTCCTAGCCCGTCTTTTTTTTTTTTTTTTTTTTTTTTTCCCAGATCCGGACCTTTTGGACCGGACGTCTGGAGTCTGGACTGAATCCAGAACGTCTGGACGGCGGTAGCCATAGAAATAATAAACAGAAATGTTTTGGCCCTTCAGCTGGGCTTCCTGAGCCGCCTGGCCGTGCACCCGTGCAGCCTGCATGGTAGGGCGGCTGCACAGGTCACCCCTGCGAGGCGGGGGCTGCTGCGCATGCAGAGAAGTGCCTGAATCTGCCTTTTCTACCCTTTTTTGCAACACAGCTGCTTTGAGGTTCCCAATGTGGGCCACTTTCGGCCTGTGCGCCTGCTGTGGCAGGTGTATCTGCTTTTTGGCAGCGCACAACCCTGACACCTATCGTTTTTTTTTTTTGTTTTTTTTTCCCCCCCCGCGTTTGCCACTGTCTGCTGAACACAACGCACACACTCAACGACAGTCAGACGGACTCAGAGTACACTGACAGTAACCGGGGCACAACCCTGGCCCCCGCATATGGTTTTTTTTTTTTTTTGTTTCGGCGTCCGCCACTGTGTGCTGAACTCAGCGCGCGCACCCAGCAACACTCAGACAGACTCAGAGCACACTGAAAGTGACCTGAGTCTCTCGGAGTGTGTCTGAGTGTGTTTGGTGTGTCCACTGGTGTGTCCACTGGACACACCAAACACACTCAGACACACTCCGAGAGACTCAGGTCACTTTCAGTGTGCTCTGAGTCTGTCTGAGTGTTGCTGGGTGCGCGCGCTGAGTTCAGCACACAGTGGCGGACACTGAGACACATTCTGACATCGTTGCACTCAGTCACAAAATGCTTCAGGAGAAGCACGGTCGAAGCAGCATCACAAACAACATAAGAAGAAGAACAAAGACGAAGAAGAAGAAGAAGAAGAAGAAGAAGAGGGAAAAAAAAACAAGAACAAAAACAAGAAAATCTGCTAAACTTCGATTCAAGCAACTGACTCAAACAAGTGGACTGACTCAAGCAACCGACTGAAGGAACTCAACTGACTCAGGTAAATCTACTAACTGAACTGACTGAGGAACCTCAACTAAGTCAAGTAAGCAAACACACTCAACTAACCGCTGCAACTGGATGGGCTGATTCAACTGACTATGCACTGTGCGCAGACTCAACTGACTACGAAGACTCAATTTACTCAGGTCATTCAACCGACTCAACGGACTCAAAGAGCTCAAGTGACTCAACAGACACGAGTTCAGTCAACTGACTGAACTACACGAGTTCAACGGACGCTACTGACTCAACTGACTCCACTGACACGACTTCAAGTACAAAAGTCTGCAGAACTGATTGAACGGACTTGTGAGAAAGAACTTCAAAGAAGCCCCAAAGAGCAGTCCTCAGCAGTGAAGCCTCTAAGGCCCGCCATCATCACCTGAGTGCACCCATTCTTCGTGGCTGCTGCTGTGCAGTGAAACACCCCCAGAATTGTCAACGCTGATGATCCCCGCCCTTCTCTTGCACAACTTCGGAGCCTTACTCCGCCATGCTCGGGCAACCCGGACCTCAGCCTCGGCGGTCTTCACCACTGCTTCTTCCGCTGCTGCCTGCGGATACTTCCGTGGACGCTCTCGTCCCCTCTTCACCGCAGGGGGTCCCACCTCCTGAGCAACCTCCTTCCGCTTCCTTCCCGCGAGGCTCACATCAAGGTTGTCGTGATGTGTAGCCTCAACCAACGGTGGGAAGGGCGAATACTCAACGGCAGCCTCAACAGGGGCTGTGTCTGGCTGTTTCTCCCGCTGCTGCAGTTCCTGCTGCTGCTCAGACACCTTGTGCTGCGGTGACATCGCCTTCTTCTGCATAGGCTGATTATCTGCTTCCTGTTGCTGGGACCCCTCCACGTGCTTCTCCACGTGGTGCTTGTGCCGCTTTTGGTGCTGCTGGCCGTCGTGCGGTTGCTGCTGCCGATCGGCTTCTTGTTGCATCCCGCAATCTGGCTGTTGCAGCCCATTCTCTAGCTGCTGCAAGTCCTGCTGCTAGTGCTGATTCTCCAATGGTTGGGACTCCTCATGCTGCTGCATCACAACACTGTCCTTTTCTTGCAGTCCCTCTCCCGCGTTCCCTAGCTCTCCCCCTTCTCCCAATGCTCCCGCTGCAGCTGTGGACACCGTCTTCTTCCTCCCAGCAGCAGGAACTGCCACACGCTTCGCAGCCTGTTGCTGCATCCGCTGCTCGACGAGAGGCTGCTCCCTGCGGGCCAAGGTATGCGCCTCTGTTCTAGCACGCTCGTCCTCGCTGTCAACATTTACGAAGGCGGGCCTCATTGTCTTCAAGAACTTTGCGTCATCGTCGGAGTGCGCCGCATCCGCCCTCCATGTGAGATCCGCGTCAACGTTGTCGTCGTCCTTGTTGTCTGACTCATCACTCTCTCGAGACGGACGCAGGCCAAACTCCACCCTCTCATCCTGTTCCTCGTCCTCCCCCTCCTCCTCCTCTTCCCCCTCCTCCTCCTCCTCCCCGTCCGCCTCATCCCCTTCTTCATAACCGGGCTCGCCATCATCGTCAAGCAGTTGCATCTCCTTGAGGTCCTCAAGCTGCTGCTGCTCTTGTGTCTTTTGTCCCTTTCCCCTCCCGATAAGGTCCTCCCCATTGTCACTGCCGTCAGAGGAGCTCGAGTCATCCACCCCCTTCATCCTTGGGACCCTCCCTTTTGGCGCCTTCCTCGGGCGAATCATCCATGCCGCCTCATCATCGGAAGGGTAAACGCTTGCTGTCGTGGCACGGAGAACAGCGGGGTCATCGGGCGATGGAGCTTCCGCCTCATCGAAGCAGCTGGCCCACAAGTGAATGTAACCCCCCCTCTTTGTCCTCTTCACCTTTTGTAGTTGTCTGTTCCAATGAACGTAGATGAGCTTCTCAACGGTCCCGCTGCCTAACGTGTTTCTCCGCTTGCTGTGCACCAGATCCAATAACGGCCAATTCCTCTCGCATGGGGTGGTCGTGCTCCATATGGCAGTGACCCTCGCCGCAATCTCCTGCAATTTCTTGTGGCTTTTGCCATTAGTGCTCCACCATTGAGATGCGGTCATCTGCAAAAGGCCGCTGTCAAACTTGGCAAACCTTGTCCAAAAGGTGTCCTCCTCATCCTCTTTCTTTGGAGGCTCTTCACCCTTCTTTCAGGCCGCTTCCCTCTTCTTCTTTGCCTCCTCCGCCCGCTTGTGCTTCATTTCCTCTGTGGGCTCCCTATGGATGGCCTGCAGATCTGCCCACAGGTCGAGGTGCTCTTTGCACCCCCATGTGGAACCCTCCGGGCACTGAGACAGCAAGAACTTCATTGCGTTCTGCACAAGCGGACTGTTGATGTCATTTGGCCACCCCTCGTTTCTCTTCTTCGGATTGAGGAGGAAGTTAGCAGCATGCACTGGCTGCCTCATCATTTTGCACCGGGTAGTGATCTTAGTATTGACGACCTTCTGTTGCGCTGTTGTCAGTCCGTTGATGATCTGCACACGCTTCATGAGGCCTTCAACAAAGTTCCAGAGCTGATGTGGGGCCGTGCAATTGCTGTCCATCTTTCGAAGCACTTTCACAACCCTCTCCAACAGCTGCCACCATTTCGTGGACCGCACGGTGACATACGTGGCTTCGGATTTATCTCTGTCCTTTGCTCCACTCCACCTGATGTCCTTCCAACCCTCCTCCATCATCTCCTCCAATACCTTCCTCCTATCCTTCAACCGCTCGAGCATCATGAACTTGGATGCGAACCGCACCTCTGTGGGGAGAATCAACGACCTCTCCCTTACCAAGTCTGAACGCTTGTTGTAGAGGGACACTGTTCGGTGGTGGTTCTTAATGAACTTCACCATCATCTTCGCCCTCTGCGCCACTTCCTGCACCCAGTCCACTCCACTGATGTCCTTCAGCAGCAGGTTGAGGCAGTGTGCTGCACAAGGGACCTAAGGAATGCGGGCAATTCGAATATCTGTTCGCCCCGTGCAACTTGCTTGTTGACCTCTGCGTTATTCGTGCAGATTGCATTGATTCTTTGAACCCGATCTCCCTGATGACCCCCTCCCAGATCCTCTCAAGATCAACTGCAATCTTTTTCCTCGTCGACATTTCCACCACCTTCAACAACACAGCCTCGCCCTCGCCTGCGGCTAGGAAGTTCATTACTGGCCTGAACCTGCGATCGGTGCACCCATCTGTGATGAGGGTACATCACATCCAGTGCTGTCCCACTTCTCCATCAATGGACGAACCTCCTCCTTCACCTTTTCATATACGATGTCCAGTGCCACCGTCCGGATAATCTCCAAGGAAGGCATGTTCACCCTCTGTTTCTTCTCGCCCAACTCCAAATATAGCCCATGAAGCTCCTAGGTCTTCTCCCCCCTCGCATGATTGAACGGCGCCCCGTGCTCACATAGATGCTCAACCCAAGTAACATCCAACCTCCGCTGAGAATTATTCCTAGTCCAACACTTGATGGATTGCTGTTTGAGCTTCCCGTTCTTCGTTTCAGTCGCTGGCTCGTGGAAGCCTCGGCAGCGACCACCTCCTCAACCTCGCCATCGTCTTGAGGAGTTTCAAGGCCCTCTCACCCTGGTGCTGTTAGCGGCTGCATGAACTCCTCCAACATGTTTGCATCCCCGTCCTTCTCTTGCTCTGTCGGGGCTATAGGACCATTGTCTGATATGTTGTTCTCCCTGCGGTACATCCTTCGGGCACTCCACCTTCGCCCCAGACCGGGAGAGGATGTGAAGAATTTCCGCAGTCCTGTTAGAGCAAGGGTTCCCTTTTCGCGTGGAGTGCTCAACCACGCGGGTGTACGACGTTTGGAACTCTCTCCCACACAGTTTGCAAATGCACCAGTACTTGCCCCTTCCCTTGGGATCTGACTCTTGACATTGTGTGACCCACTTGTACCCGATCTTCGTCAGCTGAAGTTCAAGCTGCCTGCTCTCCGGTTGCCGTACCAGAGCTGGTCTCGGGTGCTGCCCTTTCATCGACACCTTCGCCTTCCCCTTGGACTTCGACGCCGCCGCAGAGCTTGTGGAAGCCCTCCCAACGAAGAAGACGATAGACGGGAAGAAGAAGAAGAAGAAGAAGAAGAAGAAGAAGAAGAAGAAGAAGAAGAAGAAGCGGATGGGAAGATGGGAGTAGGAAGAAGAAGAAGAAGAAGAAGAAGAAGAAGAAGAAGGGAAGATGGGAAGATAAAAGTACGAGGAAGAAGAAGAAGAAGAAGAAGAAGAAGACGCAGACAGGAAGATGGGAGTAGGAAGACGAAGAAGAAGAAGCAGAAGAAGAAGAAGAAGATGGGAAGATGGGAGTAGGAAAAAGAAGAAGAAGAAGAAGAAGGAGGGAAGATTGGAAGATGGAAGTACGAGGAAGAAGAAGAAGAAGAAAAAGAGGAAGAAGAAGGGAAGATGGGAAGATGGAAGTACGAGGAAGAAGAAGAAGAAGAAGAAGAAGAAGAAGAAGAAGAAGAAGAAGAAGAAGAAGAAGCAGACAGGAAGATGGGAGTAGGAAGACGAAGAAGAAGAAGAAGAAGAAGAAGAAG